CATTAGAAGGGTGAGAGGACATGGGAAGTGGGTAAAGAAGGATTCCTTTTAAGAGGGAGTTTTGAGTATTGTCTTCTGCGGTCTTTGTGTTTGGAGTCTTATAGAGGAAGAGGAAATGCAGGAGCTATAAGAGGGCATGGGCGTGGCTGGGGAGGGAAAGTCTAATGTTAGGCCTGCCCTTCCTGGGCCTGGGGGCTATGCCTCCCCAGGGCATGGTGATGGTGAGCCCCGAGATGAATCCTACCATCTGCTCAGTGTTCGAGGCAGAGATAGTCCTACTGTTTCATGCCACCACCTTCCGACGAGGATTCCAGGTGACTGTACATGTGGGCAACGTACGTCAGACAGCAGTGGTGGAGAAGATCCATGCCAAGGTGAGAGAGACCCAGCCATGCTCCCATCTCTCCAGCAAAAAATCAGAATTCTCCTGCCTCCCTAAGGGAGGGAGGCCTGGCCCCAGACTTAGAGAGAATTCCCTGATCCCACAATGGGAACAAAGCCCCACTTAGGGTGGATAGCAGCCCGGAGGGTGGAGAGCCAAGACTGGTAGGGAATGGGATGGGAGGCACTGGCCATGGCAGTGACCACTTATCTGCTGCAGGACAAGCTGCGGACAGGGGAGAAGGCAGTGGTACGTTTCCGCTTCTTGAAACACCCAGAGTACCTGAAGGTGGGCGCCAAACTGCTGTTCCGGGAGGGTGTCACCAAGGGCATCGGCCATGTCACTGATGTGCAAGCTATTACAGCAGGAGAAGCCCAAGCCAACATGGGCTTCTGAATCCTCCAGGCTTGGACAGCTCTGTTGCTGTCCCTACAATATATAAGGTGACTTTCGGCCATGCTGCCCCCACCCACTGGCGGCTCTGTGTGTTAGTAGGCTAAGGAGAGAGGGGTGCTGTCTGCGACTTACTCCCTGCTGCCTTTCTGGAGAGGTGCCAAGCTTGGTGTGGCCAGGGAGGGGCTGTCCTGAGGGAGAAGACAGAATTCAGGGCAGTGCTGAGAAGCTGTGTGCCCACCTGGTTGGCTCATCAACCCTGGCCTGGCAACCCTGTGGCCTGTCTGCTGGAGCTGACTGCATCCACTGTCAATTCCTCGGCCCGCTATCAGGACTGGGCGTATTTTGTTGGTGTGGTCCCTGCACTTCAGGAATTGTCACCACTGGGGGTGGCCCTCAAAAGCACTCCTTTTTCTATACCTCTTCTCAAGGCCATGTAATTGCCCAACTCTACCTGACTATGGACAAAAGATATCTGCTCCTGGCCATGTGGTGGCCCAGGGGCTGAAGAAATGGCACAGGGACAGTGATGGCAGTGCTCCCATCCTGTGCTGAGGCCTCAGGCCTCTTCCTCAGCTTTATCTCCCTTCCCTTCTTTACTCAAGGGCCATTTTCCCAGTTCCTCCTCTCACAGGCCCCACAGGTGCTATTTGTTGTGCTGGCCAGGCGTGGGGCTGCCAGGCTATGGCTTGGCATACCAAAGGTCAGCTGCATGTCAATCAGTCTCGTCCTCTCCTCTGCAGTCATCTGTTGGCTTTCATGCTGGATCAAATAGTATGTTTTACTTTCCCAGAACCACAGTTCCCCATTCTGCGACTCTCACCCACCTTCTGCTCCAACCTAAGCCCTCTGTTGTTTTAGTAATTTGTAGTGACCATCCCTTCCCTCTGTTGCAGGGAACCAGGAGGAAAGGGAAAGATGTTGCCATATTTCCTACTCTTTAGGCATGGACTCCCTCCTTTCCCTTTGTTAGTGTCCTGGGTTCCCATGGACTCAGGGATTTGTTGGTTGAGGTTTCTCTGCATATATATATATATGTATATATATATTTAAATACACATATATATTGTACAGAATAAAAATGTTTTATTGAATACTCTGTGCTTATGCTTAAGACACAGGCTCAGCTTCCTTCCAGGGCTAGGTGCCTCTCCAAGATCAGAGACGAGAAACCCCAACATTGCTGAGCCCTGAATGTGGAAAGAACCCATCTGGTATCTCATCCGCCGTTTTTCTTTTCCTCTTCCTTTCACAGGATCAATGTTCCAATATTGTAACAAAGTATTCTGCCCGTAAATTCTTTGAGTGAGCAGAGTAGGAAGTGAAACGGAGGCCTTTTCAGCTGAAATAAGTAGCTACCGTGTATTTGAGGAGTTGGTCACTTGCTAGTGTCACAACGGTAAGAAGCCCACTTCTGTGCCCTGTCAGAGATTTGGAGAGTAGAGTGCTAACTACTTCAAGAGAATTTAGAGACAAATGGTAATCTGGTCCTCAAACTTTTCAGGTTTATATAATCTAAATTAGATTCTTGGAGCCATGAGGGCCACCTGGCCAAACCTTAGTCCCTCTTGCTGTTTCCACATTCAGACTCCTTGTTAACATATCTTATGGACAGAGAAATAGGGCCCAAGGATAAAGTCAACAGCAAAACACAGAGACTACATTTTGAACAAGCATCTGGCAAAAGAAATGTGGTAAATGTGGCCCAAGGTCCTATGTGGCATTCTGCCTGTAGAGTATTAAAGTGATAACTTCCCTACCACTCAGGCTCAGCTTTTTAAAATATACTGGTTTAACTTGGTACTAAGAAGCCCCTGGTTGAAGAACTTACTCCTGTATTAGGAGCTAAGAGCTGTTTACTTCCTTCTGTATAGTTGCCGATAAACAGCTGTGAGGAAGGAAAGGTTACATTCAGCAAAAAGATACTATAGCTTTCACCCAGCACTGACCTTTGCATGTCTGTCTGCTGTCGCCTCCACAGACTCATTGCCAGTGTGTTGGGGCGGGGCTGGTATTCCCAAGAAAACAGAAGGTATGTTACTGTCTTTATTGGTCATCTACTACTCCCCACACCTCACCCCCAAACTCTATCGGTTTGGGCCTCTAGAAGTCCAGTAAAACCTAAGTTTCTACCACATTATTTTTTCTGTATGACTCCTTCATGCCAGTCAACCCAACTGTTAAAAATTTATTCAACTTGATCTGAATAGCATCCAAAAGAGATGGATGCTTCATCCAGTTTGTTAACTTATCCTGGACTAAGAAAGGAAATTTTGGAAAATCACATCCCAGCATTTAATGAGACATCTCCAGGAATTACTGAGCCACTTTGCTACATTAATGGAACATTTAAGGAGAGAAAAATGTGTATAAGGCAGGTTGCCAAGGAGTTTATACTTTGCTGGATGGAGTGCAGTGGCATCATCATAGCTCACTGCAATCTCAAAATCCTGGGTTTAAGCCAAGTGTCTGAGTAGCTGGGACTACAAGCGCACACCACCATGCTCGGCTATTTTTCCTTTTTTTTATATAGATGGGGTCTTGCAATGTTGCCCGGGCTGGTCTTGAACTGACCTCAAGCAATCCTCCCACCTCAGCCTCCCCAAGTGCTAGGATTATAGGTGTGAGCCACCGCACCTGGACAATACATTCTTCTTGTCCCAGTTCTGGTAATCAGATCTAAAGTTTTTTACTATATACATTCACCCAATGAATATCAAGCACCTATGATTTGCAAGGCACTGTGAAGAATTCTTGCCTTTAAGAAGCTACAAATCTAGTAGGGAAAAGGCCACGTACACAGTGAATACTGTCTTTTATTGGATATTCAAGTACCATAAAAGTAGAAAATATTTTTGGAGGAAAAAATAATTTCCTGCTGGATCCAATGGTTTTCATACCCTCCCCTGTTCTTCAAACTAAATACAAGACTCCTCCCCCCACTTATAAATAAGCTAAAAGTTGGTTTGTGTGTATGTATGGAAGGAAGGAGATGTACACTATTCTCTCTACCCACCACCACCAACTCAGTTCATCTTCAGTTGAGTTCCTTGTGTAATTCAAGCCAAAAAAGCTGACTTCTCACACATAAGAACAGACATTAAAAATACAGTACTATAAACATGGACAAGTGCAAAAAGCTACAATAATCAATTTAAAACCCTAAGCTAAATATTTATACTTCAGTAAGGAAGAGATGAACATGCCAGTAACCACAAAGGTGCAAGCACTCACCTCTTAAATTTGTGCTTTAGAGTTTAAGGAAATGTTATTGTTCTCTACAAACCTGGCTGTCGGTATCTTCTAGATAACTATTTCTCAAACTTTAAGATATACACTGGGGAGTCTTGTTAATATGCAGATTTGGATTCAGTAGTAGTGGTGAGGTGAAGACTATTACTAACAAGTTCCTAGGTGATCCCGATGCTGCCATTCCTCAAGTCACACTTAGAGTAGCAAGGTTCTAGAGATGATCTAGTTTTGGTTAGGACTTCTCGAATCTAAACAGAGTTCCTGAACTGGCCAGTGGCAATCTCATTCTACATTAGAACAAAATGCAGAGAATGGCTAACCAGGGGCTAGAACTGAGGCTATAATAGGGTTTACCTGTATGAGATTCAGCGTTTATTGAGTAGCTTTTATGTACAGAACCTGCCCTACTCTAGTTACTACAGCACTTTTTAGGGATTCTTCACCTCACATTCTCCAACAGAAAATACGGAATTCTGGTCAAGGCATTATCGGAAACTGCCCCTGTCACCAAACTAGGGAGCAGTTGTTGTTTTTTTTAAACTTTTTGTTTTTTACTTAGTTCATTTTCTGTGCCAACTCTAAGTTGAAGATTAAAATAATCTGTAAGGCATTATCTCAGTTTTACAGATGAGGAAGTAAAAAAAGTGACTTGCTCAAAGCCATCACTGCAGTAAGGCAGAGAGAGCTAGGTTTGGAACCAGTCTCTTAGGCTTCAAGGCCCACATATTTTTTACAGTATGACACTGCCTCCCTAAACTCTAAAGATTAAAAACTCAATGAGAGTATGAATTTTTACATCTCTGTCAGCAATGGGATTAGAATCTATGCCTGTGAAGAGATAGGAACCTTAATCTGGCACCTAACTGGATTATTTTTGTATTAAAATTTTCATAAAATTATGGCTTTCCCTGAGAAAGGAACATATTTCCGTCTCCCAGGTTACAGATAAAATATTAAAATCCTACAGCAAGCCTGAGGGCAACATTAATGTGTTAATGGCTTAAAAAATGATTCCAATGTCTGCATGCCCTCAGGCCTAGGCCGTTTATTACTGGAGGCCAAAGGGCTCTTGGGATTTCTTTTGCCTTGAGGAGACAAGGCAGGAACAACCTGGGGGTTTGAGGGCTGCAGAAAGGATTTCTGCAACTCCAATGCAAAATGGTAGTCCATGTGTTCTGGCATGTCCCAAACTGGTAACAGGGACCGACATTTCTCACAGGGCACTTGGTCCTCAGCGGCTAAAACACTTAAGGTGGTAGTTGCCGTCTGAGCCACCCCTGGAGCAGCCTTGGAAGCTGAAGAAGCAAGCATGCTTGGGCTGTTCTGGGTCAAATCCATCTCTGCAGGAGTTGGTTTAGAGGATTCTAGCTTCAACGCCCCTTCACAAACAGGGGCACCATCTGGATACTCTGTTGGAAAATGATGTGGTAACCCTTTAGAGTTGGACTTTGGATTTTGTGGAGGGAAAGGAACTGAAGAATTATTAAGCTGCTTCTGTTTTAGAAGCAGACTTTTCTGCTTGAAGAAGGACTCCGTTCCTGTAGTTCGACTGGTTTGGAAAGGTAATGACTTGGATGGTGAATTGCTCGTGGGGGCCTGAGTGGTAACAGTCAAAGATGAAAGCGAAGCTTCTTTGACTTTCCGTTTTTCTGCAGCTTTTTGGAAGAATGATTCCAGAGAGGTGGTTGCTTTCTTAGTTGCTGTCACCCCTGGGTCACTTCCCTGGGTGTTAGCTTCTGAACTGGTAACTGGCACCTTTGGCAGAGAACTTGGGTCACTGCTCAAGAAGATGGTGATGTCTGTGCAAGACGAAGGGGCAGAGGCAGAGAATTTGGTAGCACAGAGGCATAGCATTGTGAGGGGGGGAGACCTGTACAGAAAGTAAAAGAATAAGAAGATTAGCAATAGGTCACTATTTCAGAGCTTAGGAAAGATTCAGTCAATGACTGGGATTCTGATTCTGCCACAAGAAGAAATCATTCCTTACTACAGTGGTTCTCAAAATTTAACATGTATCGAATTAGTAGACCTGGGATGAACAGAGAATTTGAGTTTCTAACAATTGATGCTGCATCTTGAGAACCACTGACTTGATGACCTCCCACCTCCTGACGGCTGCTGTTTTTATAAGATACCACTGCAGAGCTGCTATAATTCAGGGTTGGGGCAAGAAATTTTATTCAGGGCAACAGAAAAACTTTAGAACATTTAGATGGGAAAGACTTGAAAAAGCCCTCTTAGCCATTCTCTTGTTTTTAAACAGGGGTACTACCTAACCCTAATCCTGACAGACTTTCCATTCTGGAATTTCTGCAGAATGAAATGCCACAACTGCTTTTGGTTACCAATCCCAGTCTTAGAAACATTTGTAGAAATTCCTGTCATAAAGTTCCTCATTATGTCTAATAACCCAAATTTTCAAAGCTGAATTTCAGAAAATGAAACATGCTTTTAGATACAGGTTTCTCAATGAGGTAAGGGTAAATGCTATTTTAAAGTAATTATGAAAGTATCCCACTATCCTCAGGTTTCATGCTTTGGAACATTCTTATAATTAGATAATTTTGATGCTTCCCTGTCAAGAAATGTCACATATCCGTGAGTAGTATTTGTGATAGTGTCAATTTATAAGTTTTCAAATGAACATAGTATCACAATTGTCATTTGGTTCTATAAAACTGTTCAATGTTTAAAAATAAATATTATCAAGAAATAAAAATTAAGTAAATTATTCCACGTAAAGAACAAAGACTCCAACTTTGGAGACCTCATCATATAGATCTGTACCTATAATAGTAGTGCCAATATATTTAGATAAGCAATAACTTAGGTGATTAAATTTTGATTTTTTAAAATAATCTTCAATATACATCTGTGAGTGAGCAACCAATTTATCTTTCTCTCATAATTATATTTCCATTGTGAATTTAGAATACTTTATTTTTTACATAGCAGCAGGCTATTAAATAAGTAATTAAAGGATTCCAATCCAGGAAATCATTAATGTCTGAACAGAAAATGAACATGCTCCAACAAAAAGAGGCTTATATTTCATGACCAACAAGTGAAATTTATTAATGAATATAACATTTGGTACAATACCAATGGGGCTTGTAACTGAGTTGGGATGTTAGATAGAAATTATCAATGAATATAGGTCACTTTCGTAATCAAGAAAGATGCTTTTAAGATAGAACAGTCAAGTAGTTGAAAGAGAAGTACCCAAATGCATTCTGGAAACCTGAGCTCTGTTCTCCAAGTGCAACTGGTCGTTTCCCCGACAAAAGCAAGCTGATACAGGCAGAGATAGTACTGGTTCACTTTGCATTCTAACCCACCGTTGGGAACTGTAATGTATCAAATGTAGGCAAAGAAGCTGTAGCTGGGCTTCCTTGTTCCTGAGGTTGCTGCTGTGTTTTCTCCCTTAGTGCATAACCATTCCCCTCTGTAATAGGTACTGCTAGTCTGAGTCACAAAGTGCCTATCCCTGCTGGAGGAGCCTGGATACCCACTAATTTTAGAGCTAAGACAGGGCATAAGTCTTTTCTAAGAAGATGAGCTAGAAAAAAAACTCACCATTCAGTTTGGATTCCAGACGTATTACAGTTCTTGATAACAGCAAATGCATCATGGCTCATCTTGTAAGCATCATAGCGGGTAAGGGGACAGCAGCGGCGCAGGCTGGTGAGACGTTTGTCTCCTTGCACACGAATGCTCACAGCCAGCTGGGTAGCTACCCTGTCATTCTGTGAGTGGAGAAAGATTGAGACCAGAAGTAAAGTTTCAGGAGCATCTGAATTCTATATATGGAAATATATGAGAGGAAATTAAAAGAACCAGGGTGACAGAATGGTTTGGAAACACTAAGCTTAAAATTCAAGAATATAGTGTCAGTAAGCAAACAATGAGGCTGTTTATTCCAGCATCTATTCCTGTAAGCTACAAATGTATACTGAGTACCTATTATGCACAGGACACAGGATTAGGTACCATGAGGGAGGCTAATAGTATACTACACTGCAGAATCACATTTTCTGAATAAAAATCTGACCACAAAAAGTTTGTTATTTCTGGGTGTAAAAAGTAATGAGAGAAGACATAATTTGGGTTAGGGGATATTAGAATATCTAACATTTTGACAGGTGATGGGAACAGAATAAATGAAAATGGAACCCCCTTGAATGTTTTTCATGGTGTCTAAGCAGGAAGATTATAACAAATACCTATAATACTATATTCTGTTTTGTGAATGAAGGAAGGATTCAGGCAAGTAATTGTCTGAAAACCAGGACGTCAAGATTGTGTGGTCGTTCTAGTCTTCAATCCAGTCTTTTTTGTGTTTTTTTTTTTTTGAGACAGAGTCTCATTCTGTTGCCCTGGCTAGAGTGAGTGCCGTGGCGTCAGCCTAGCTCACAGCAACCTCAAACTCCTGGGCTCAAGCAATCCTACTGCCTCAGCCTCCCGAGTAACTGGGACTACAGGCACGCGCCACCATGCCCGGCTAACTTTTTCTATATATTTTTAGTTTTCCAGATAATTTATTTCTATTTTTTTTTTAGTAGAGATGGGGGTCTCGCTCTTGCTCAGGCTGGTCTCGAACTCCTGAGCTCAAACAATCCGCCCACCTCGGCCTCGCAGAGTGCTAGGATTACAGGCGTGAGCCACCGCGCCCGGCCTCAAATCAGTCTTTTTTCTCCCTGCTGCTCTGGTGCTTAGTAACAGCAGAAGAAACAACCCATCTAGAGAAGATACAGTATAGTGAGGCTGCCTCTGGAAAGCAAGATCACTGACTCACTTCAACGAAGTCTAAGCATCTGAATGGTGTTGTTGCTCAGAAAACTGAGAAATAAAGGTCAATAGGGACCCCTCAAAAATGAAAAGATGTTAGTGAGAAGAAATACTCCTAAGGCAAATGAGCTGAGAGCAGGAATTATTTTGGGGGTAAAAATACAGTTGTGCAGATTGATTTATCTTGGGAGAATAAAAATTGGCAATTACAAAGGAGTCCTTGTTGACTAAAATCATTCAGCTAATGACTGCCTACGATGTATGTCTAGACGGTGCCTAGAGATGCAAGAGAGAACAACAAAGTCCAGGCCCTCAGGGATCTTATGTTGTAGTAGGAGCTAGAGCTAATAAATTGGTAGGCATGTAATAGAAATGACTACACAGATGAGTGCTGTGAATGAAAGAGTAAGGCAAACAGTGATGGAAGCTGCTGATGTGACAGGCTAACTGGGGAAGGCCTCTTGGAGAAGGTGAGATTTGAATAAAGCGAGGAAGCAAATTTTAAGGATATATGAGCAAAGAGTCTCCAGGGCAAAGGAACAGCAAGTGCAAAGGTGCTAAGGTGACAGCTTACTGGGTGTGTGAGATAAAAGGGAATGAGGCCAATGGAGTAGAGACTAGAGTAAATAAGTGGGGGAGAAGATAGGAAATAAAGTCAGAGAAGTAGCCAGAGACCAGATCATATCTGTCTTTATAGAATTAAAAAAAAGGAAGGAAAGCCTTAAATGTGAAGGGAAGGCACTGACTGGAATGTTTTAAACAATGAAGTGACAGGATCTGCTATGTCCCGAATTCTTTTTGGCCATAAAGTCCCTTGAAGCTAAAGACAAGATTAATTTTCAGGATCCCCACTATGTTGCACTGGATATAAGGTGGGAGGAAAAGTCCCACGGGCATATAGAGAGATGAGAACCAGGCGCCACCTAGTGGGCAAAGTTGGACAGGCTGGTAACACAACTAGGGTCAAATCCCTCTGTGTTGCTAACCAAAGGAATAAACGTTCACCACCAATTCCAGCTAAAAAGGGGCAAACAAGTAGTACTGGACTATTCTTGACAGTATACAGTTAACGTGCAGAATGCCAAGACGTTTCAAAAGGAGAGGATGCGTCAAATAATACCATTAGGAAAGTGAAAAGAAAACCCACAGAATGGAAGAAAATATTTCCAAATCATTTATCGGATAAGGGACTTGTATTCAAATTATATAAAGAACGCTTAAAACTCAGTAGTAAAGAGACAACCCAATTCAAAAAAAGGAAAAGGGTCTCAACAAACGTTTCTCCAAAGAAGATAAACAAATGGCCAATATGCACATAAAAAGATGATTAGCTTTCAGAAAAGGTAAATCAAACCATGAAAATACCACTTCACACCCACTAGAATGGCTAAAACTTAAAAAGACAGTAACAAGGATGTGAAAAAACTAGAACTCTTACATTGATAATAGGGATGTAAAATGGTGCAGCCATTGTGGAAAACAGTTCCTGGCAGTTCCTCAAAATGCTAAACATAGTTACCATTTGACCCAGCAGTCATACTCTTGGGTATATACTGAAGAGAAATGAAAACATATGTCTACACAGAAACTTGTACATGAATGTTCATAGCAGCAATATTCATAATAGCCAAAAAATGGAAACAACTCAAATGTCTATTTACTGATGAATGGATAAACAAAATGTGTTATTTCCATACAGTCGAGTATTATTCAGTCATAAAAAGGAATAAAGTACTGATACATGCTACAATATGGGTGAACCTTGAAAACATTATGCTAAGTGAAAGGTTTCAAGCCAGTCACAAAAGGCTACATATTATATGATTCGATTCCATTTACAGGAAATGTCTGGAATAGTAAGTACATAAAAGCAGACTAGTGGGTGCCTACAGCTGGGGGTGGTTGGGAGAGAAATGGGGAGTGACTCCTAACAGGTACAAGATTTCTTTTTGGGGTGATGAAAATGTTCTAAAATTCATTGTAGCATAGTTGTACAACTCTGAAATATACTTAAACCACAGAACTGTATGCTTTGAGTGGGTGAATTTTATGGCATGTAAAGTGTGTATCAATAAAGTTGCTGGAAAGGAGAAAGACACTAATCATCAGATGTCTAATGTTTGACTTAATACTCTGTCTTTAAAACCGCCGCTACTTCTAAACTAAAGAAGCCAATAACGTTAGGGAAAAAAAGTAAAATGCTCAGAACATTAAAAAAAAAAAAAAAAACAACAAATATACAGACATAAAGAATAAAACTGGTTGCCAGGGGTGGGGTGAGGGGAAGAAAATGGGGAGATGTAGTCAAAGGATAGAAAGTACCAGATGTGTAGGATGAACAAGTGTAGAGATCTCATGTACAACATGATTGTATTAAGGATTTTTATTAAAGAAGCCAATTTTAGCTGCTCTTTTCACAAAAGAAAGTAACAATGTGAGATGATAGATATGTTAATTTGCTATACTGTAGTAACCACTCTACTGTCTATAAGTATCCCATAATATCATGCTGTAAACTTCAAATATACACAATAAAATGCATTTTAAACTGCCATTCCTTTGTCACATGGACTAAACATTAAACCTAATAATTTACAGTCCAGTCTCTCAATGTCCTCAATGGTGGAGGGCCACTGTATAACCAGGGTTGCAAGAGGAGTTAGATAAAATCTAAAACAGGCCGGGCACGGTGGCTCACGCCTGTAATCCTAGCACTCTGGGAGGCCGAGGTAGGAGGATCATTTGAGCTCAAGAGTTCAAGACCAGCCTGAGCAAGAGTGAGACCCTGTCTCTACTAAAAATAGAAAAAATTAGCCAGGCATGGTGGTGGATGCCTGTAGTCCCAGCTACTCATGAGGCTGAGGCAGAAGGATTGCTTGAGCCCAGGAGTTTGAGGTTGCTGTGAGCTAGGCTGATGCCATGGCACTCCAGCTCGGTCAACAGAGCCAGACTGTCTCAAAAAAAAAAAAATCCAAAACACAGAGGCAACTGGTAATGAGAGAGACAGGGGTAGAGTTAGGTCTTATGTTCACAGATCCAAGCTTTCAAAGATTATATTGAGTTTTATGGGCCTATGTTGAAAGAAGATAAAAGATTTCTTAAAATTTCCTAGGCTCACACCTAATGGGTGCGGTGTGCACCATCTGGGGAATGGACACGCTTGTAGCTCCGACTCCAATGGGCCAAAGGCAATATATGTAACCTAAACATTTGTACCCCCATAATATGCTGAAATAAAAAAAAATTTCTTAGGCTGATGCCTTTTTCTATCTTTGTTCCTCCTACTCCATAAAGAGCACCGATATTTAAATCCCAAAGCCCACCCCAGGAATAAAGAAAGAAAATCTTACATCATTTCGATCTTTTTTCAGTCTCTCCTCTAGTTCCTGGGCTAACTGCAAAAGCCACCATTGTACCTAAAAAAAGTATTGAGACTTTAATGTTCATTTAAATACTCTAGGTCTATTATAGAACTAGACAGTGGATTTGTTCAGTTCTCTCCCAAACAGAACTGTGCACCAAAGTTTCCCCCATAACCAAGGGATCATCAGATCATAGAAATCTTCAAGATTTTCATTTTCTTTTCCTGCTGGCATGCCATCAGGTGAATTTCAGGCATGTTCCAGCTCTGAGAAAAAAGAAAAGACCCAAACTTGAGGTACAATATCCTACGTTTTCCAAGTTTCCACCTACTAAAAAACCGAGAAATTCCATTTTCAACTTCAGTCAGTTCCATTTTATTTCTTTTTAGATGGAAGAAAGAAAAAAAGTGATAAATCACAAGTTAAACTAGTTAATTTTCAATACAAGAAAGGAACTTCTATTCTCTTCATACTTTATAAAGGTCCCATCTAATCTATTAAACCTTCCACAGCTACCAAAATCTACCGATTAACCCCTTTAAAAGAGGCAGTGTTCTGTTAAGAATACCGGCTTACCTGTTCCTGAGTAGACAGAGCTGTTTTTCCTGGGAAGTTCTTGCTACAGCCAATGGTTTTGGGTAGTTGCCTGGGTTTAACTGGATCATGTTCAATCCCTCGGCACATGGCATACAGCCAAGACCTAATAAAACCAGCAAAGAACTTTAAGGTGGAAGTAAATGATTAATCTGTGAAAACAAAACAAAACACCTATATCATATTACCCTTTTATCCTTTCCATGAAAAAGGAAAAATCTGTCCGAATCTGACCTCTGACAGAAACCCCTGCCCTTCTCAAATGAATTCCAGTGCGATATATTGGCAAACAGAACAAGTGGTTCTGCTTTCTAAAGCCACGTCATCATTTGTATTTTTTGAAAAGAGGCAAGCAAACCATCGATTCATATCCCCAAGTTTTTTTGTGCTTACTAGGGCCTTAAACACAAGGATTTTAAGCAAACATAACATCTTAGCACACGTGAATGATGTACTTAGTAGTATATACCCAGGCATCAAAGTAACAATTCCTATCTATCAACCACCCAGGTACGTGAAAAAACTACTCTAGACAAATAGGCCATAGTGATCCAATATTTTAAAGCAAGAAGGACCAGTGAAATTATCTCAAAAAACAAATGTTAACCTAAAGATAGGTCTGGATTTTACTAGATGCTTTTGTCTATATTTGAACCTAGCATCTCCATAAAGGTTATGATTGAAAATATAGAAATCACTTACCCATTCTTCTCCCCAAAATGACTCTGGAGTTGAGATTCAGTGAACTGGGTCAGTTCACCCATGTATTCTACTCCTAGGATTTCAATGACAGAGGCCCCCAGCTTTCCTCCAAGACTACGGCTGATAACAAAGGAGAAAAAGAATTGATAGATCACTTCATAAATATCTAGTTGGCAGCAAACATAAGGCATTCTGCTTCTGTAAGCAGCTCTCCAAAAGATTCAGGAAAAATGAGAGCATGTATTAGTCCTGTACACTCCTAAGTTTTCAGCCTAAGACTATCTGGGAATTCAAATACTCTGAGAATTAGGACCTGAGAAGAAGATTAATAGCATAAACAAAAAGTTAAAGTTATTAATTAGCTGTCAAGTCAACAATTTATAAAAGTTTCAATTGTACAAGACCTACTGTCACATTTGGGGATTAAAATTCCAAACCCC